AGTACATTTTTTTCAGGATTCTTTGATGAATAGAAAGATCCAAAGATCAGCATTTATCTGAAATAAAAAGCTTTTGTAGCATTATACACTATACCACTCAAAAGGTTGGAGTCAGTAGATTTTTTTTTTTTTAATTTTTAGCAGCAAATCAGAATATTTGAATGATTTCTTTGAGTTCACAATATTACTGCTTTTGCTGTATTTTGGATTAAATAAATGCAGGCTTGGTGCGCAGAAGAGACTTCTTTAAAAAGCAATAAAAATCTTACTGTTCAAAAACGTTTGACTGGTAGTGTATATCATATACATATACAGTATACTGTATATATATATATATATATATAAATGGTGGTGGGCCGCCTGGGCCGATTTTTTGTCCCAGTCCAGCCCTGCATGAACCGTATATATTTAGTCATGAAACATGTTTGTACCTTTGGTCTCATTGAAGTAAGTGAAGCGCATGAATGTTTTCTTTCACAAATAAGTTGACTGAATGTTCTGAACTCATAGTTAAACCATCAAGTCTTGTTTTCCACCAAAGAATGACAGATAGAAAAGAATGAGAAATTAATAATATAAAAGACACTATGCTATAAATAGATGAGTTGGAGGAGAATGAGTGGTTGAGTGGACACCAGAGGGAGACAGACTGATAGAAAGAAGTTGTCGTAAGTCGTGAGCCCTTTCAGTTTTCTTCCATGTGTAGAGGCAGTGATCTACATTCAGTTTGCAGAATTTAAATGATTTATTCTCTCTATCCTCTCACACTTCCTCTCATTTTCTCAAGCAAAACTAAGCATACAAGCATACAATTTTTTTTTCAGTGATAATCAATGCCTGCATTAGAATCAAGCTAGTTTTGTGTTAGCAGGTGCTGACATATCCAGGTCTACCATTTGTGTTTCAGTGTTTCAAAGAATTATGGTATGTACACACAAACTCACACATTTTTTGACATATCAAACCTCTTTTTTCTTCATCACAAGCATGTTTCTTGCTCTCCCCTGTTCCGAGGTTCCTGTCAGGCTAAAAATAACAGCAGCGGACTGAAAGAGCAGTTCTCAATGGCATGTTCTCCTTCCCTCCCGCCTTTCT